GACCCCGAAATCATCGCAAAGTAACCTGCCCTTCTCAATCCCCATTTAGATTATAGGTATCTTTTGGTCATTCTACTATAAAACGGCCATATGCTATCTGGCGAAGTTATAGAGCCAGATCAAGTCATAGCCCCGCTCTTGTGCTAGGAAAGTCTCCACTCCGGGCTCACCATAGACCGTGCTACTTGGAGCTTTTTGTTCCGAGTAGCTGAATCTAATTCCTGGAATTAGCTGTCACCCTTCTCTATAACCGTTGTTGTTGTTGATGAATTAGTGTGACAATTGTGTATCAATGATCTACTCAAATCGCCCTTTAACTGATCAATCAAAAATGGATCTAAATTATATAAACAAGGTGGGCTAAATTATATAAATTATATGAATTGTTTATATAATTGAAATCTATTTTTGATTGATCAGTTAAAGGGCGATTTTAGTAGGATCATTAATACACATTTGTCTCACTAATTTATTGTTAATATATACTATCTTGTGCGATTATTATCTGTGTATGGGCCTATTGGCCTATACATGGGTGTTAATAGGGGCCCTTATTGGCCCATATGATGCAGCTCTTATTTTATATGCACCTAATTCCATTCATATATGTATCATTGTACCTCACTTCATCTCTCTCTCCTGCTTATATATGTTCAAACCTATTGACTTGTAAATCATTCTTTCTGAAGATGTATTAATATACGAAAGTACTTAAAGAAAATTCCTGTTTCAAATATTGATGTCTAGTGCCTCGCAAATGTCAAGCTGCCTGCTATCGCTGTATCTATCGATGCTTTCTGTGTTGTTTGTTAAGATTTCTCTGGTGATGGTCTGGTTGTGGGTTGACATACCAGAAAACAATCTAAGGAAACTACTCCAAGCCTGTACTAAAGAGGCACCCTTCTTGAGCCCGGATGGGTACATGTATAAGCAAGTAGATGGGGTCGCCATGGGTTCTCCCCTAGGTGTCCTGTTTGCGAACTTCTACATGGGTACCATGGAACAGAAGGTCTTAGTCGACATGAACTTGAAACCGGTCATATACTGCAGGTGTGTTGACGACATTTTTACACAGGTACCTGATGTCAAACATCTGCAAGAGCTGAAAGAGGCATTTGAGCGGAATTCTGTGTTGCGTTTCACTTACGAGATGGAGAAGGATGGGAAGCTGCCCTTTCTAGACGTAACAGTCATGGAAAGGAGCGGAGGTTTCCACACTGCAGTCTACACTAAGGAAACAAACATAAGAATGTGCCTCAATGCCAACAATGACTGCCCAGACAGGTACAAGAGGAGTGTTGACTCCTTATGTCGACTGTGCTCTCAGCCACAGCTCAGGATGGAAGCAAGTCGATGAAGAACTCTGTAGGGTAAGGCAGGTCCTAGTCAAGAACGGCTTCTCCAATGGTTTCGTTGAAGACATCATAAGAAGGAAGGTGAAACGCCATGCAACCTCTGAAGAGACAACTAACACAACACCTGTACCCCCTAATAGACTATTTTACAGGAACTTCTTTTCCACAGCTCATAAAACGGAGGAAAGGGTCCTGAAAGATATTGTTAATAGAAACGTTATTCCTACAGACAAAAATCAGAAGATACAATTGACGATCTACTATAAAACCAAGAAAACGGCCAACCTACTCATGAGAAACTCTCCAGACACAAAGCAGAAAGCTTTAAAAGAGACCAACGTCGTCTATGCCTTCAAATGCCCTCTTGGGGACTGTAAGCGTTCAAGTGTCGCGTCAGACTAGAAACAAAATGAATTTTGGAGAATTGATTTTTCAATTACCATCAACAGTGAAAAGAAACATAAGAAAGATCGAGAAAATTCGTGTTAGAATTATTAATCTTACTTTTTCGGTCATATTTAATAATGTATGTCTACAGGAAAGACTGCTACCAAAATATATATATATATATATATATATGTCGTACCTAGTAGCCAGAACGCACTTCTCAGCCTACTATGCAAGGCCCAATTTGTCTAATAAGCCAAGTTTTCTTGAATTAATTGTTTTTCGACTACCTAACCTACATAACCTAACCTAACCTAACTTTTTTGGCAACCTAACCTAACCTAACCTATAAAGATAGGTTAGGTTAGCTTAGGTAGGGTTGGTTAGGTTCGGTCATATATCTATGTTTATTTTAACTACAATAAAATAAAATTGACCTCATACATAATGAAATGGGTAGCTTTATCATTTCATAAGAAAAAAATTTGAGAAAATATATTATTTTAGGAAAACTTGGCTTATTAGGCAAATCGGGCCTTGCATAGTAGGCCGAGAAGTGCGTTCTGGCTACTAGGTACGACATATATATATATATATATATATATATATATATATATATATATATATATATATATATATATATATATATATATATATATATGTCGTACCTAGTAGCCAGAACGCACTTCTCGGCCTACTATGCAAGGCCCGATTTGCCTAATAAGCCAAGTTTTCATGAATTAATTGTTTTTCGACTACCTAACCTAACTTTTTCGGCTACCTAACCTAACCTAATCTATAAAGATAGGTTAGGTTAGGTTTGGTAGGGTTGGTTAGGTTCGGTCATATATCTAATTGCCCGAATTGCCTAATAAGCCAAGTTTTTCCTGAATTAATATATTTTCTCTAATTTTTTTTCTTATGAAATGATAAAACTACCCATTTCATTATGTATGAGGTAAATTTTTTTTTATTGGATTTAAATTAACGTAGAAATATGACCGAACCTAACCCACCCTACCTAACCTAACCTAACCTATCTTTGTAGGTTAGGTTAGGTTAGGTAGCCGAAAAAGTTAGGTTAGGTTAGGTTAGGTAGGTTAGGTAGTCGAAAAACAATTAATTCATGAAAACTTGGCTTATTAGGCAAATCGGGCCTTGCATAGTAGGCCGAGTACGACGTTCTGTCTACTAGGTACAACATATATATATATATATATATATATATATATATATATATATATATATATTTTATTAAATATGACCGAAAAAGTAAGATTAATAATTCTAACACGAATTTTCTCAATCTGTCGTACATTATGCTTCACTGTTGGAGGTAAATCAAAAATCACTTCTCCAAAATTCATTTTTATTTCTAGTCTGACGCGACGCGGGCGCGTTTCGTAAAACTTATTACATTTTCAAAGACTTCACAAATACACAACTGATTAGAACTTGCGTTTCCCTGATTTTATATCTACATTTGAGTGAGGTGGGAAGGGTGATGTGGCATTACATTTGAGTGAGGTGGGAAGGATGATGTGGCATTAGAGAATATTAATAGGGTATTAAAAGTATCAACACAAGACAGAACACGAAACAATGGATATTGAATAGAAGTGTTTGTAGAAAGCCTATTGGTCCATATTTCTTGATGCTTCTATATTGGAGCGGAGTCTTGAGGTGAGTATAATACCCACCTCAAGACTCCGCTCCAATATAGAAGCATCAAGAAATATGGACCAATAGGCTTTCTACAAACACTTCTATTCAATATCCATTGTTTCGTGTTCTGTCTTGTGTTGATACTTTTAATACCCTATTAATATTCTCTAATGCCACATCATCCTTCCCACCTCACTCAAATGTAATGCCACATCACCCTTCCCACCTCACTCAAATGTAGATATAAAATCAGGGAAACGCAAGTTCTAATCAGTTGTGTATTTGTGAAGTCTTTGAAAATGTAATAAGTTTTACGAAACGCGCCCGCGTCGCGTCAGACTAGAAATAAAATGAATTTTGGAGAAGTGATTTTTGATTTACCTCCAACAGTGAAGCATAATGTACGACAGATTGAGAAAATTCGTGTTAGAATTATTAATCTTACTTTTTCGGTCATATTTAATAAAATATGTCTACAGGAAAGACTGCTACCAAAATATACTAATATATATATATATATATATATATATATATATATATATATATTATATATAGATATATATATATATATATATATATATATATATATATATATATATATATATATATATATATATATATATATATATATATATATATATATATATGTTTTTTATTGCACAGCACTACAAGTTCTCAGGAGTTTTCCAACATTAAAACTATTGCTAAAACAAAACGTTGTTTAAACTTTATAGATTCTTATCAAAAATGATGTTTTGCAGGCTCCGTGGTGCAGGTCTGGCGGCGTCGACGTCACTGCCTATAGGAGAGCAGGTGTACGAGGACTCGAACTGGTCGATGAGTCTATAGTGTACCCGGTACGCTCTCCCACCTACGATCTCCTCTGCGTCAACGACGTGGGGTTCGCCTGCGCCTCCTGCATGCAGTCTGTAGTGTGCGCCGACGGTGAAGCCTACCTGCTGCCCTGTACCTCGGGCACGCGTTGCGTCAGTCACGCCAGCTTCGCCGGCGGCGTCTGCTACCCGGACACGTCCCTCAAGTCCTGTGGCTGCGACAAAGGTGACTACGTCTTACCGGACCCTTACAACCCTGCGGCCTTCCTTCTCTGCCAGTCCAAAGACAGCGATCCCGAAGTGATCATCTGCTCTGATGGCTACGACTTCGACCCCGACAGCAAGATTTGCGTCGCTGCTCCTACTTTCCCTGCCTGTGTGGCCACCGCAGTTTTGCTCTTCAGAACGCATGTCGATGGTTCTACACCTGCGTGCCGAACGGGTCGAGCGGCTGGCAGCAAGTGCACGGCATCTGTCCCGGTCAACAGCAGATGTACAGCCAGGTGTTGGGAAGGTGTGTCGACCCGGACGCCTTGCCCCATGAGGACCCTTGTAGCAAGAGCGACAAGGTCATCATCCGCTACACCTGTTCCTTCTGGCAGCTGCTCTACCTTATCTTCTTCCCGCACAAGATTGCTTCCATCTGTTACTCCTGAGGGCGTAGATTTTGCACACACACACACACACACACACACACACACACACACACACACACACACACACACACACACACACACACACACACACACACACACACACAGCGGTGATGTACCGAGTGGTTAAGGCGTCTGACTTGAAATCAGATGGGATCTTCCCGCGTAGGTTCGAATCCTACTCACTGAGGTTCACAAACGTGTTGGTTGACAAATGGAATGCATTAGGAAATGATGTGGTGGAGGCTGACTCCATACACAGTTTCAAGTGTAGATATGATAGAGCCCAATAGGCTCAGGAATCTGTACACCTGTTGATTGACGGTTGAGAGGCGGGACCAAAGAGCCAGAGCTCAACCCCCGCAAACACAACTAGGTACTCACCTAGTTGTACTCACCTAGTTGTGCTTGCGGGGGTTGAGCTCTGGCTCTTCGGTCCCGCCTCTCAACCGTCAATCAACAGGTGTACAGGTTCCTGAGCCTATTGGGCTCTATCATATCTACACTTGAAACTGTGTATGGAGTCAGCCTCCACCACATTGCTTCCTAATGCATTCCATTTGTCAACCATTCTGACACTAAAAAAGTTCCTTCTAATATCTCTGTGGCTCATTTGGGCACTCAGTTTCCACCTGTGTCCCCTAGTGCGTGTGCCCGTTGTGTTAAATAGCCTGTCTTTATCAACCCTGTCGATTCCCTTGAAAATCTTGAATGTGGTGATCATGTCCCCCCTAACTCTTCTGTCTTCCAACGAAGTGAGGTTCAATTCCCGTAGTTTCTCCTCGAAGCTCATACCTCTCAGCTCGGGTACTAGTCTGGTGGCAAACCTTTGAACCTTTTCCAGTTTAGTCTTATGCTTGACTAGATATGGACTCCATGCTGGAGCCGCATACTCCAGGATTGGTCTGACATATGTGGTATATAATGTTCTGAAAGATTCCTTACACAAGTTTCTTAAGGCCGTTCTTATGTTAGCCAACCTGGCATATGCTGCTGATGTTATCTGATGTGGTATCTCTTGATATGAGCTTCAGGGGACAGGTCTGGCGTGATATCAACCCCAGGTCTTTCTCTCTCTCTGACTCTTGAAGTATCTCATATCCCAAGTGATACCTTGTATCTGGTCTCCTGCTTCCTACCCCTATCTTCATTACATTACATTTTCTTGGGTTAAACTCTAACATCCATTTCTTCGACCATTCCTGCAGCTTGTCCAGGTCTTCTTGAAGCCTCAAGCTGTCCTCCTCTATCATAATCCTTCTCATAATTTTGGCGTCGTCAGCAAACATTGAGAGGAATGAGTCTATACCCTCTGGGAGATCATTTACGTATATCAGAAACAGGATAGGTCCAAGCACAGTGCCCTGTGGGACTCCACTGGTGACTTCACGCCATTCTGAGGTCTCACCCCTCACTATAACTCTCTGCTTCCTATTGCTTAGGTACTCCCTTATCCACTGGAGCGCCCTACCAGTTATTCCTGCCTGTTTCTCCAGCTTATGCATCAACCTTTTATGGGGTACTGTGTCAAAGGCTTTCCGACAGTCCAAAAAAATGCAGTCCGCCCATCCTTCTCTTTCTTGCTTAATCTTTGTCACCTGATCATAGAATTCTATCAAGCCTGTAAGGCAAGATTTACCCTCCCTGAACCCATGTTGATGGGTTGTCACGAAGTCTCTTCTCTCCAGATGTGTTACTAGGTTTTTTCTCACAATCTTCTCCATCACCTTGCATGGTATACAAGTTAAGGACACTGGCCTGTAGTTCAGTGCCTCTTGTCTGTCACCCTTTTTAAATATTGGTACTACATTAGCAGTCTTCCATACTTCTGGTAGGTCTCCCGTTTCCAGTGACCTACTATACACTATGGAGAGTGGCAAGCAAAGTGCTCCTGCACACTCTTTCAATATCCAGAGCCCCAAAGGGGCCTCGTAGCCTGGTGGATAGCGCGCAGGACTCGTAATTCTGTGGCGCGGGTTCGATTCCCGCACGAGGCAGAAACAAATGGGCAAAGTTTCTTTCACCCTAAATGCCCCTGTTACCTAGCAGTAAATAGGTACCTGGGTGTTAGTCAGCTGTCACGGGCTGCTTCCTGGGGGTGGAGGCCTGGTCGAGGACCGGGCCGCGGGGACACTAAAAAAGCCCCGAAATCATCTCAAGATAACCTCAAGATCCATAGTGAGATTCCGTCCGGCCCAACAGCTTTTCTCACATCCAGCTCCAATAGGTGCTTCTTGACCTCATCTCTTGTAATTTCGAACCTTTCCAAGGTCACCTGGTTTGCTGCCACCTCTCCTAGCGCCGTGACTTCTCCCTGTTCTATTGTAAAGACCTCCTGGAACCTTTTGTTGAGTTCTTCACACACCTCTTTGTCATTCTCTGTGTACCTGTCCTCGCCCACCCTAAGTTTCATCACCTGTTCCTTCACTGTTGTCTTCCTCCTGATGTGACTGTGTAGTAGCTTTGGTTCGGTCTTGGCTTTATTAGCTATATCATTTTCATACCTTTTCTCAGCTGCTCTTCTCACACTAACATACTCGTTCCTGGTTCTCTGGTATCTCTCTCTATTTTCTGGTGTTCTGTTATTACGGAAGTTCCTCCATGCCCTTTTGTTCAGCTCCTTTGCTTTCATACATTTCCCATTATACCACGGATTCTTCCTTTGCTTCTCTGTTTTTTTCCTGTCGGGCTGGGACAAACCTGCTTACAGCCTCCTGACATTCTTGGGTGACATAGTCCATCATGTCTTGTACGGACTTGGTTCCGAGTTCTGTGTCCCAATGTATATCCCATAGGAATTTATTCATCTCCTCATAGTTTCCCTTTCGGTACGCCAGCCCTTTGTTTCCCAGTTCTTTTTTGGCGGTGATAATTCCTAGCTCAACCAGGTACTCAAAGTTCAATACACTATGATCATTCATTCCCAAGGGGGCTTCCAACTTAACTTCCCTTATATCCGTCTCATTTAGGGTAAATATCAGATCAAGCAAGGCTGGTTCATCCCCTCCTCTCGTTCTTGTCGGTCCCTTATGTGATGTGGTGGAGGCTGACTCCATTCACAGTTTCAAGTGTAGATATGATAGAGCCCAATAGGCTCAGGAACCTGTACACCAGTTGTTTGACAGTTGAGAGGTGGGACCAAAGAGCTAGAGCTCAATCCCCGCAAGCACAAATAGGTGAGTACACACACACACTCACACACACACACACACACACACACACACACACACACACACACACACACACACACACACACACACACACATCATGTATATCTATCCTCACGTATAATGAGTCGTTGAAACAAGTGTTCACGCAACACCATTATTTCACTTCACGTGACAAACTCCTCGCTTATGTGATGCTGATGTTAACATATATACTGTGTGTGGCTTCGCTGTCTTTCATATATTTACAAAATTAGGTTTTCATCTTGTCCTCTGAGCATGCATCCTCCTCGGTGAAGAAGGATGTGCTGGGAAGCCTCCTTCCGAGCACATCCTTCCGAGGAAGCCATGTGTTGATGCCTCCTCGGTAAGGCATCAACACTTTTATAATCAACGCATAATGTTTGTAATGCATCAACTAGGATAATATGATTTACTTATGGAAGTGTAAGTATTATCCCGCCAAACACACACCGAAACTACGACGTTGGTACAACGTTCGAGCAAGTTTTAACACCTAACCAGTTATAACAACCAATATAGCAAGTTGTAACAACGTTCTAATACGTCATAAACACGTTAAGCCAAGATGTAACAACTTTATTACAAGTTGTAACAAGCGGAAAATAGAGACAGTTTCGGTTTGTGTTTCCAGGGTATAGCGCATCTTATCTTATCCTTCCTCTTTATCTTGCCCTCGCTTCCACTACACATAACTGGCCGACCCCTCACAGTCATCAGGAGACAACTGGATAAACACCTCTAAAGGATACCTGATAACCAGGCTGTGGTTCATACGACAGACTGCGAGTAGCAGCGTCCAACAGCCTGATTGACAAGTCCAGCAACCAGGAGGCCTGGTCTAGAACCGGGCCGCAGGGACGCTGAGACCCCGAAATCATCGCAAGGTAACCTGCCCTTCTCAATCCCCATTTAGATTATAGGTATCTTTTGGTCATTCTACTATAAAACGGCCATAAGCTATCTGGCGAAGTTATAGGGCCAGATCAAGTCATAGCCCCGCTCTTGTGCTAGGAAAGTCTCCACTCCGGGCTCACCATAGACTGTGCTACTTGGAACTTTTTGTTCCGAGTAGCTGAATCTAATTCCTGGAATTAGCTGTCACCCTTCTCTATAACCGTTGTTGTTGTTGATGAATTAGTGTGACAATTGTGTATCAATGATCTACTCAAATCGCCCTTTAACTGATCAATCAAAAATGGATCTAAATTATATAAACAAGGTGGGCTAAATTATATAAATTATATGAATTGTTTTATATAATTGAAATCTATTTTTGATTGATCAGTTAAAGGGCGATTTTAGTAGGATCATTAATACACATTGTCTCACTAATTTATTGTTAATATATACTATCTTGTGCGATTATTATCTGTGTATGGGCCTATTGGCCTATACATGGGTGTTAATAGGGGCCCTTATTGGCCCATATGATGCAGCTCTTATTTTATATGCACCTAATTCCATTCATATATGTATCATTGTACCTCACTTCATCTCTCTCTCCTGCTTATATGTTCAAACCTATTGACTTGTAAATCATTCTTTCTGAAGATGTATTAATATACGAAAGTACTTAAAGAAAATTCCTGTTTCAAATATTGATGTGTAGTGCCTCGCAAATGTCAAGCTGCCTGCTATCGCTGTATCTATCGATGCTTTCTGTGTTGTTTAAGATTTCTCTGGTGAGGGTCTGGTTGTGGGTTGACATACCAGAAAACAATCTAAGGAAACTACTCCAAGCTTGTACTAAAGAGGCACCCTTCTTGAGCCCGGATGGGCACATGTATAAGCAAGTAGATGGGGTCGCCATGGGTTCTCCCCTAGGTGTCCTGTTTGCGAACTTCTACATGGGTACCATCGAACAGAAGGTCTTAGTCGACATGAACTTGAAACCGGTCATATACTGCAGGTGTGTTGACGACATTTTTACACAGGTACCTGATGTCAAACATCTGCAAGAGCTGAAAGAGGCATTTGAGCGGAATTCTGTGTTGCGTTTCACTTACGAGATGGAGAAGGATGGGAAGCTGCCCTTTCTAGACGTAACAGTCATGGAAAGGAGCGGAGGTTTCCACACTGCAGTCTACACTAAGGAAACAAACATAAGAATGTGCCTCAATGCCAACAATGACTGCCCAGACAGGTACAAGAGGAGTGTTGTTAACACTTATGTCGACTGTGCTCTCAGCCACAGCTCAGGATGGAAGCAAGTCGATGAAGAACTCTGTAGGGTAAGGCAGGTCCTAGTCAAGAACGGCTTCTCCAATGGTTTCGTTGAAGACATCATAAGAAGGAAGGTGAAACGCCATGCAACCTCTGAAGAGACAACTAACACAACACCTGTACCCCCTAATAGACTATTTTACAGGAACTTCTTTTCCACAGCTCATATAACGGAGGAAAGGGTCCTGAAGATATTGTTAATAGAAACGTTATCCCTACAGACAAAATCAGAAGATACAATTGACGATCTACTATAAACCAAGAAAACGGCCAACCTACTCATGAGAAACTCTCCAGACACAAAGCAGAACGCTTTAAAAGAGACCAACGTCGTCTATGCCTTCAAATGCCCTCTTGGGGACTGTAAGCGTTTCAAGTGTCGCGTCAGACTAGAAACAAAAATGAATTTTGGAGAATTGATTTTTCAATTACCATCAACAGTGAAAAGAAACATAAGAAAGATCGAGAAAATTCGTGTTAGAATTATTAATCTTACTTTTTCGGTCATATTTAATAATGTATGTCTACAGGAAAGACTGCTACCAAAATATACTAATATATATATATATATATATATATATATATATATATATATATATATATATATATATATATATATATATATATATGTCGTACCTAGTAGCCAGAACGCACTTCTCAGCCTACTATGCAAGGCCCGATTTGCCTAATAAGCCTAGTTTTCATGAATTAATTGTTTTTCGACTACCTAACCTAACCTAACCTAACTTTTTCGGCTACCTAACCTAACCTAATCTATAAAGATAGGTTAGGTTAGGTTTGGTAGGGTTGGTTAGGTTCGGTCATATATCTAATTGCCCGAATTGCCTAATAAGCCAAGTTTTCCTGAATTAATATATTTTCTCTAATTTTTTTCTTATGAAATGATAAAGCTACCCATTTCATTATGTATGAGGTCAATTTTTTTTTATTGGATTTAAAATTAACGTAGAAATATGACCGAAACTAACCCACCCTACCTAACCTAACCTAACCTATCTTTATAGGTTAGGTTAGGTTAGGTAGCCGAAAAAGTTAGGTTAGGTTAGGTTAGGTAGGTTAGGTAGTCGAAAAACAATTAATTCATGAAAACTTGGCTTATTAGGCAAATCGGGCCTTGCATAGTAGGCCGAGTACGACGTTCTGTCTACTAGGTACAACATATATATATATATATATATATATATATATATATATATATATATATATATATATATATATATATATATATATATATATATATATATATATATATATATATATATATGTTTTTATTGCACAGCACTACAAGTTCTCAGGAGTTTTCCAACATTAAAACTATTGCTAAAACAAAACGTTGTTTAAACTTTATAGATTCTTATCCAAAATGGTGTTTTGCAGGCTCCGTGGTGCAGGTCTGGCGGCGTCGACGTCACTGCCTATAGGAGAGCAGGTGCACGAGGACTCGAACTGGTCGATGAGTCTATAGTGTACCCGGTACGCTCTCCCACCTACGATCTCCTCTGCGTCAACGACGTGGGTTCGCCTGCGCCTCCTGCATGCAGTCTGTAGTGTGCGCCGACGGTGAAGCCTACCTGCTGCCCTGTACCTCGGGCACGCGTTGCGTCAGTCACGCCAGCTTCGCCGGCGGCGTCTGCTACCCGGACACGTCCCTCAAGTCCTGTGGGTGCGACAAAGGTGACTACGTCTTACCGGACCCTTACAACCCTGCGGCCTTCCTTCTCTGCCAGTCCAAAGACAGCGATCCCGAAGTGATCATCTGCTCTGATGGCTACGACTTCGACCCCGACAGCAAGATTTGCGTCGCTGCTCCTACTTTCCCTGCCTGTGTGGCCACCGGCAGTTTTGCTCTTCAGAACGCATGTCGATGGTTCTACACCTGCGTGCCGAACGGGTCGAGCGGCTGGCAGCAAGTGCACGGCATCTGTCCCGGTCAACAGCAGATGTACAGCCAGGTGTTGGGAAGGTGTGTCGACCCGGACGCCTTGCCCCATGAGGACCCTTGTAGCAAGAGCGACAAGGTCATCATCCGCTACACCTGTTCCTTCTGGCAGCTGCTCTACCTTATCTTCTTCCCGCACAAGATTGCTTCCATCTGTTACTTCTGAGGGCGTAGATTTTGCACACACACACACACACACACACACACACACACACACACACACACACACACACACACACACACACACACACACACACACACACACAGGGGACACAGGTGGGAACTGAGTGCCCAAATGAGCCACAGAGATATTAGAAAGAACTTTTTTAGTGTCAGAGTGGTTGACAAATGGAATGCATTAGGAAGCAATGTGGTGGAGGCTGACTCCATACACAGTTTCAAGTGTAGATATGATAGAGCCCAATAGGCTCAGGAACCTGTACACCTGTTGATTGACGGTTGAGAGGCGGGACCAAAGAGCCAGAGCTCAATCCCCGCAAGCACAAATAGGTGAGTACACACACACACACACACACACACACACACACACACACACACACACACACACACACACACACACACACACACACACATCATGTATATCTATCCTCACGTATAATGAGTCGTTGAAACAAGTGTTCACGCAACACCATTATTTCACTTCACGTGACAAACTCCTCGCTTATGTGATGCTGATGTTAACATATATACTGTGTGTGTAATAGAGGAAATAATTCTTCTTATTACTGAATCTTTGAAACTCTAAAGCTCTTAAGACAATACGAACTGGTGCAATATTATTACGGCACTCCCGCTCTGTTATCCATATTATCCACACTCTGTTATCCTTATTATCCACACTCTGTTATCCTTATTATCCACACTCTGTTATCCATATTATCCACACTCTGTTATCCATATTATCCACACTCTGTTATCCATATTATCCACACTCTGTTATCCTTATTATCCACACTCTGTTATCCTTATTATCCACACTCTGTTATCCATATTATCCCCCACTCTGTTATCCTTATTATCCACACTCTGTTATCCTTATTATCCACACTCTGTTATCCATATTATCCACACTTTATTATCCATATTCCCTTTCATATTATTATTATTTTTTCCTCGTATAGTATCACAATTCTTCCCCCTCTATTCTCACTATTTTTCCCCCCTCTGTTATCACTATTTTTCAACCCATATTGACACTATTCGTCCCCTTATGTCTTCATATATTCTTCATATAGGGAAGCAGCAGGAAATATCTCCACAGGGAGAGTGAGGAGGTTGGCGGGGACTCTCGAGCGCCACCTCCCGCCTGGAGGCAGCGGGGACTGTGGTAATCTTGCTCTCAAAACCTTTCTTAAGGGACAAAGTAACTGTGAAAGCACAGATTTTAAATGTATTATTGTTTTGTCTTTAATCTATAGTGAGACTGTCACGACCAAAGAATTGTATATGTTATTATTTATTTAATAAATTGAATGAATGACCCAGTTTTCATTCTCAGTTAATATGTGGAATGTGGTGGTATTATTTCTGATCATGGGTGAGACACATGTCATGATGAAATTGACGGATGTTTGGCATCAGATCGGATCATCTTCACTTCATCCAAAGACCCATCGAGGTCAATGACTGCAGCGGGCGTTCCACTACCCTCAGCATCTGTGATACCGTCCTGTGGTTGGGTTCCAGCTCCCGGGACTGTGTATTTATGTAGTGACTCTGCTGTACTCTGAATGTGTCTCTAGCGCTGTGGGGGACAGCTAGAGCTGGCTGAAATAGAGCAGGGGAATTGGCTTATGGGAAAATATGACTTATGAGGCATGAACCAGAGGTAGTGAAACATAACGAATGAGGTGTCGGAAAAACCGACACCATTTACTAACATTCAATACAATAGGCAGATAATATTGCTGCTGTTGTGTAATAAACAAATTAACTCATAGAAGATGTGGGACAGTGGAATTTTCCTCCCATAGAAAACGAGATATCATTGCCACATGTCATTAAATTCACCACCTAATATTGGGAAACATTCTTATACAGCAGTCTCTGGACTGTAAACATCATGAAAATATTTCCCTTGAATCAGCTTAATTATCAGTACCAAAACAGAGTAAATGTAGTCCATTTAATCACTTCTTGACATGTGGACAAGAGAGCCAGGGCGTGAGAGAGGGAGGGATGGCCACAGACAGAGTCGCCATTTAATTTTAACATCAGTCCCCGGAGCAAATTTAACTCCTATAATTTTCCCTTTGACAACAGGGTTATGGGAGTAAAGTGATTCCATTATCAACACGCAATATGGAAAGTGTCTTACCAAAACCCGTTTATTATTTTAGTGCTTTAGTGGCCATAGATGTAGGTAGATGTATAAGGTGAAGCCGGTTAGGACTCGAGACAGCGACAAAACCAAGGTAACTATTCCTTTGTCATTATCTCATAAGTATTACCACTATTTCTTCTGATATAGCTGTCATAATTAGGATTACTGTTATTATTGTAAGTGCCCTTTGACAGGTGTCATTTAAGAGGAAGAAGAATTAAACTAGATACCTAGTACACCAGTGTACTAGATACCTAGTACACCAGTACACGTGTTGATGCCAACCTCAACCACGAGGATTACTTGGTGTGATCATCCTTGTTCATAACTGGTGGACCAGGCCCGCTAAATACAGACAAGGCCTCCCCATTTTAGTTAATAATATATGCAGTTTAATATGCAGGCGATGAGTCACAATAACGTGGCTGAAGGGTATGTTGACCAGACCACACACTAGAGTTGAAGGGACGACGACGTTTCGGTCCGTCCTGGACAATCGACTTGAGAATGGTCCAGGACGGACCGAAACGTCGTCGTCCCTTCAACTTCTAGTGTGTGGTCTCGTCAGCAGTTTAATATTGTAGTGAATGTCTACTAACCAATAGTTTATATTAAGGACTACATAAATAAACCATAAACCAACCAGAATGTGTAAGGAAAGCGATTTCTGACAATTTTATATCATAGAGTCCACTTTAAACGTCAAACACTTTGCTATCGAAAAATATAAATTAACGTAAAATATAAATTACTATATACATTAATATAAAATTAAATAAATATAAATCTCACAGGACAATTCCCCACATGAGGCATGAACCAGAGATGGCGAAACATGACATGTGAAGCATGAACCAGAGGCGGTGAAACATGACATGTGAAGCATGAACCAGAGGTGGTGAAACATGATGTATAAAGCATGAACCAGAGGTGGTGAAACATGACATGTGAGGCATGAACCAGAGGTGGCGAATCATGATATGTGAGGCATGAACCAGAGGTGGCGAAACATGACATGTGAGGCATGAACCAGAGGTGGCGAATCATGATATGTGAGGCATGAACCAGAGGTGGCGAAACATGACATGTGAGGCATGAACCAGAGGTGGCGAAACATGACATGTGAGGCATGAACCAGAGGTGGCGAATCATGATATGTGAGGCATGAACCAGAGGTGGCGAAACATGACATGTGAGGCATGAACCAGAGGTGGCGAATCATGATATGTGAGGCATGAACCAGAGGTGGCGAATCATGATATGTGAGGCATGAACCAGAGGTGGCGAAACATGACATGTGAGGCATGAACCAGAGGTGGTGAAACATGACATATGAAGCATGAACCAGAGGTGGTGAAACATGACATATGAAGCATGAACCAGAGGTGGTGAAACATGACATATGAAGCATGAACCAGAGGTGGTGAAACATGACATATGAAGCATGAACCAGAGGTGGTGAAACATGACATATAAAGCATGAACCAGAGGTGGTGAAGCATGACGTATAAAGCATGAACCAGAGGTGGTGAAACATGATGTATAAAGCATGAACCAGAGGTGGCGAAACATGACATGTGAGGCATGAACCAGAGGTGGCGAAACATGACATGTGAGGCATGAACCAGAGGTGGCGAAACATGACATGTGAGGCATGAACCAGAGGTGGTGAAACATGATGTATAAAGCATGAACCAGAGGTGGTGAAACATGACATGTGAAGCATGAACCAGAGGTGGCGAAACATGACATGTGAGGCATGAACCAGAGGTGGTGAAACATGACATGTGAGGCATGAACCAGAGGTGGCGAAACATGACATGTGAGGCATGAACCAGAGGTGGCGAAACATGACATGTGAGGCATGAACCAGAGGTGGTGAAACATGACATGTGAGGCATGAACCAGAGGTGGCGAAACATGATGTATAAAGCATGAACCAGAGGTGGCGAAACATGACATGTGAGGCATGAACCAGAGGTGGCGAAACATGACATATAAAGCATGAACCAGAGGTGGCGAAACATGACATGTGAGGCATGAACCAGAGGTGGCGAAACATGACATGTGAAGCATGAACCAGAGGTGGCGAAACATGACATGTGAGGCATGAACCAGAGGTGGCGAAACATGACATGTGAGGCATGAACCAGAGGTGGTGAAACATGACATATGAAGCATGAACCAGAGGTGGTGAAACATGACATATGAAGCATGAACCAGAGGTGGTGAAACATGACATATGAAGCATGAACCAGAGGTGGTGAAACATGACATATGAAGCATGAACCAGAGGTGGCGAAACATGACATGTGAGGCATGAACCAGAGGTGGCGAAACATGACATGTGAGGCATGAACCAGAGGCGGTGAAACATGACATGTGAGGCATGAACCAGAGGTGGTGAAACATGACATGTGAGGCATGAACCAGAGGTGGCGAAACATGACATGTGAGGCATGAACCAGAGGTGGCGAAACATGACATGTGAGGCATGAACCAGAGGTGGCGAAACATGACATGTGAAGCATGAACCAGAGGTGGCGAAACATGACATGTGAGGCATGAACCAGAGGTGGCGAAACATGACATGTGAGGCATGAACCAGAGGTGGCGAAACATGACATGTGAGGCATGAACCAGAGGTGGTGAAACATGACATATAAAGCATGAACCAGAGGTGGCGAAACATGACATGTGAGGCATGAACCAGAGGTGGCGAAACATGACATGTGAGGCATGAACCAGAGGTGGTGAAACATGACATGTGAAGCATGAACCAGAGGTGGCGAAACATGACATGTGAGGCATGAACCAGAGGT